TTCCCAGGAGCCAGAGGGGGTGGCAACAATGAGCGTAGGAGTGCCCACTCTCTGCACTACATAGTTCTATGGTTACTTAAAGTTTGGGGGCTTTATTTTATAATGAATGGGTGCTACTTTTGTAATTAGGAGACAAGCTTCATTTTTAAACTGTTTCCTTCAGTCACACATGGATTCTACATGTCTGGGCAGAGTTTGGAGCAGAGCTTTTGATGGCTAAGAGACTCTTTAAGGGCCACAGCTAGAGTTACAGTTTGGAGGACACATTTCGGTCAAGGTCCTAGAATTGCTTACTGCACAGATCACAGAAAAGTGCAAAATCACAGCAAACAGATGGTCTGTGGACAATCTGAATCTGCATGGATCCTTGGGACCATAATTTTCTTTTCTAGACTGTATCACTCAAGACCCACCTTGCTTTTTTCTGGGGGCAGGACAGCTGACAGGAACATGGGAAGCCCTGTAGCCACAGCACGAGGCACGTGCCTTACAACGTTTCTATAGGTAATATAGAGAAATGACGTTTGCAGCTGTCTTAACAACCCACCCAGGAGAGGTTATCAGTCCTTGACAGCTTGTTTTCCATATTTCCAATGAATGCACTCAGGACTGCTATGCTTCTCAAGTGGATGGGGAACAGGGTGCAAGAGATGGTGATTAGCATTCTAGAACAATTGGAACTTAGATCTCCATGCCCTCTTGTGTCACTTTTACAAAGATGTCAGGTATAAATGAGAAGAAACATTTGTATTTGAAATCACCTATTTAGGCCAAAAGGAAGCCTGCTGCTCTGTGCCCTGACTGCAGACAGTGTTACAAGAGACTCTGGATTTGTGAAGGGGGGGAAAAAACCTCCACCCCCCAAAAAATAAGCCTCTAGAACTATTGACCCCAAATAGCAACCTTCACTGCATGGGCATTTAAAAACAAATGGCAGGAATCCTGCTGGCGCAGCCTGTCTTCCCGAGCACGCCTGGTCACCTGGAGGGAGCACAGAGGGAGGCAACCATTGCACACCTGTGGCACCAACTGGCAGGCGTCCTGCTAGAAGGGAGGTCATGACACCAGAGTCGAGAGAAGGACTTACCAGCCATTCAGTGGGGAAGAGGGAAGCCATGTGTAAACGGCTGAAAATCTCAAACCGCAGGCCTTGAATGTAGCCCTGCAGGTGGCATTTGAGTGAGCACAAGGCAGCAGGCCTGGCATCTGCTTCCCAGGGACCTACCATCCTCTGAAGTCTGTGTCAGGCTATCCCAGCACTCATTCTCAGCCTCAATAAGCTACAACTGTAAACCTTTCTGAGTGTTTTGCCCTGTCTTCCCCACCTATTACTTTTCCCAACCTCCAGGCATACATCCAAGTGTGTTCATGTCTCCCTGGTCATGTGCACTGCTGTGGCTACCCACTTGCTTCCAGTTCTCCAGGCATTAAGTCCACATGACCCACATCCTCATTCAGATAAGCACTGAGGTGGCTGATGGCGGACATGGAGTGTCCTGTCCTTGGCCTCTTTAAAGACTTGGTCCCTTGCTCTTGTTAAGGGCTGTCAAATGAAACTCATAGCAACCTTATGAACAATAGGCCTCACAATCTCTGACACACTCAAGCCCATTACTGCAGTCACCACGTCCATCCATCTCATGGGGGGGGTGTGTGTGTCTTAAATGCAGCCACTCCTGTGACTTAAGGCCACATCTAGCTCACTAGCACCAGGCAACATCCTAACCGTAAGAATAGTGGCATTTTTGCTGCAAATCCATATACATGCCTTTCAGCTACTGAACTAATCATCCTGCCAAGAAAGAAAATGGAGACAATTTGTTCTCCAAGAATCCATAATGTTTGTAGATGATGTCTCTCCTGTACAAGCTATTCTAGAACATGGCTTGAGGTCAAGATCACACTCTGCCAGTTTAATGTTTCCTCATCTCCCTTCTTCCCTTTTGGAAATCAGGTTTCTGGACTATCCAGTCTCCCAGCATCTCTCCTACTCTTTGCAATTCCTTAAGAGTCAGAAATTGCAACTGCAAATGATTTCAAGTCCAAGCTTGCAGTGACTCGCCTGACGAAGCTGAGCACTCTGGTCTGCTTTTGTTCATCAGACTAATTCTCTCCTCCCGTTATCTGTGACCCATCCTGGCCCTGGACCCTTCACCTCGATTTTTTTCTGTGGCAAAGACATATACGAAAGGTCCTAGTTGTTGTGCTGTTTTCATGAACTTCCTAACACATAGCTTATCATGGGCTTTCCTGACACCAGCCGTAAAGCACTAGCTCCCGCACTGCCACACTCGTCTTGCTTTCCTTCACACCTATTTTTCAGCTGAAATAGAAGCTTACTTCAGAGCCTCTTGACTCACTTCCCTTTTGCTCTTTTCAGAGCTTCCTGAAACCCTAAAAATATATCTTAGTGCACCAAACCTTTCCATTTCCTGACTCCCAAAAGCTTCAAGATGATATGCTGGTTAACGACTTCTGTCTTGGCCTGAACACTTGAAAGGGCACTTGCCTTTATCAGCACTGCCTCCAGCACCCACAGTCCAGCTTACCCAAGCCATTATGCATGCTTCCTGAGGCTCACACCAGTGCTCAGAATGTGCGGCCACACAGGTGCAGACAAGCTGCAGCAAGATGGACCACTAACCCAAAGGCTGTGCATTTCCGGTGGCTCCAATCCACCAGGGGTTTGAAGGGAGAAAGCTGGGCAGTCTCCTCCCATTGTGAAACCCAACGGAGGGTTACAAGTCAGCACGGACTGGATGGCAGGGAGGACTGGGGTCAACAGAGAGAGTGTTTGGACACAAAATGAAGTGAGAATTACTGTTAGCGGTGAACCAAATGTGACAATCATCTCTTTGGTAATAAACCCTTTTGTTGCTGGGTGCCACTGAGCACAACTCACAGCGACCCTATGAACAAAAGAGATGAACCTTGTTCTATCCTGTGCCATTCTTGCACGTCCTGACACACAAGAGGCCATTGCAGCAGTCACCGTGTCAATCCACCTGTTGAGGGTCTTCCTCTCCTTCGCTGACCCTCCACCCTTCCTAGCATCATGTCCCTCTAGCAACATACTCAAAAAAAGTATGAGGTGAAGCCTTATTATTCTTGCCTCCAAAGAGCTCTCTGGCTGCACCCTCTCCAAGACATATCTGTTGGTTATCCTGGCCGTCCATGGGATGCTCAGTGTTCTTCTCCAACACCACAGCTCAAAGGTGTCAATTCTTTTCCTGTCATCCTTATTCATGTTCAGCTCTCAGATGCATAGCTAGTAATTGGAAAGACCATAGCCTGAATCAGATGCACCTTAGTCCTCAAACTGACATCACTACTCAATAATTTGGAGAGGTCCCTAATTGCAGATTTTCCCAGTGCAATGTGTCTCCTTATTTCCTGACTGCTTGTACCAAGGGTGTTAATTGTGGATCCAAGCAAGACGAAGCTATTGACAGTTTCAATCTCCTTTTCATCCATCATGACGTTGCCTATCAGTCCAGTGGTAAGAATGTTTTCTTTTTTTTTTTTAAAGTTTTTAGATTTGATTTTCTTTTGTTGTTGTTGTGTGCCATCGAGTCAGATTAGACTGGCACAGAAGGAGTTAGATTGCCCCTCCTCCTCCAGTGGAGCATCTGATGGACGAGAACTGCCTGCCTTCATGATTGTAGCGCAGCTTCTTGCCACTAGGCCACCAGAGCTCCAAGAACGTTTTCTTTTTTTTTTATTTTATTATTGTTTTGTGTGTCTGTGTACCGTCAAATCAGATCTGACTGGTACAGGAGAAGATTGTCCCTCCTTTCCCGGCAGAGCATCTGGTAGATTCGAACCATGCGCCTCTGGGATTGCTAAGAACGTTTTCTTGACATTAAGATGCCAATCCATACTGAAGGCTGCCTTCCTCGATCTTCTGCAACAAGTGCTTCAAGTCCTCCTTACTTTAACAATAAACCCTAGAGTACTGTACTTTCAAGTATAATATCCCCACATGAATAACACCCATGTGCACATGCACAGGAACTGATGCACCTGGCATGACTCTTTGTGGGAACCAAAAAAGCACCCTTACACATACTGTGTAACAATAAGGTAAATATTTTCTCAGGATCTTTGTAAGCCCTTGGCCTTACTGGACAGCTACTGCATAATCAGTTGGCAACTCGGGCCCAGACCAGCAGGTCAGAACACCAAGAAGGAAGAGACAATGAACAGAACCCTAGGCTCCCACAGATGCCTTACATTAACCTCAGCATGCCAACTCAACCCCTTGGCCCTGAGCCAGGCACTCAGTTCCATCAAACACCCAATGTCTTCAGGCAACTATGGGTTACAGTATATACCTGCCTACAGTTGCCCATGTGGAGATTCTCTGGAACAGAGCCTCTCTGCATCATTTCTGCCCACTATACTCGAATCAAGGCCCCAGACACAAAAAGGCACTTCACTATAGGTTGTCCCTGATCTATAATGCATTAGGTTTGACAACATGCACTTACAATAATAATTTTTTGGGGGGAGGTACTTTTTATCAGTAATATCTAGCATGTAACTTGCTGATGTTATTATTCGTAGATGTTTACTTGGAGATGTTCAAAAATATGACTTACACAGATACTGATAACAAAAAGCAATAATGAAATTTTTTTTTAAACGAGGAGTTTAATTTGTATCAAAACCAACTGACAACAGAGTTGTCAGAATGGAACTCCATCCATCCTAAGGGACTACCTGTGTTCACTTGACCCCTTTAAACCTGAACTACAAAGGGTCTCTTCCAGAGAAAAGTCCCAAGTTCTTGACATTTACCTTAACCTGCGTACACTGCTTCGTATGAGCTACAGCAAAGTCAGAGCCCAAGTCTTTTGAACTTCTAGTTGACCCTTGCCCACTTTACACAACTGCTCTAATGGGCCTCTGTCTCAAGAACACAGAGCAGAGAGACAGTGAAGCCCCAGGAGAAGGCTGAGTTGTGTCCCCCTTCCTGCTTAGCCCCACAGTACACTCACAAGGACAGGAGCAAGGAAAAGCCAGCAATGTAGAGGTTCCTCTGGGCGCGGAAAAGCTTCATGTGGAAGTGTTCCATGGCCCCAGGGTTGTTCTGGAGGTTCACCTTTTCTGTCACATCATCATATTTCCAGATCTCTCGGACGGCATCTGTGGGGAGCAGAGGAGAAGACAGATGGGCTTTCCACTCCCACATGGGTAAGCCTGGGCCACAGGGGACAGGGAGGCAGTGTGAGCTGGAGGGCTCACTGCCCTTTGATCTCTAGTCATTTGCACATCAGGAGTCTCCCAATCCCTCTTTTCTCCCCTCAGGCAAGCCTGCCAGATGCTTCAAGATAGTAAAAGTCTGAGGCCCTACTGGCACCAGAGGCAGTTCCCTTCCCCCATATGTCCCCAGTCTTCTTGTGCTGCCATCAGGTCAGGTTTGGTCATACACAGAAAAACCTGGATAGTCCTGTCAATGGCAATGGTGGTGAAGGGAGCATCAGGAGCAGGTAATACCTGAAAAAGGTGCAAGTGGGTTTATTTCTAAGCTGTAGAATGGTTGTTAGGTGCCATCAATTCAACTACGAGTCATAGCAAGCCTACGAACAATAGATGGGCACCTTACCCTCCTCTGTGCCGTTCTCACCATCTCCATCATGCCCAAGCCCACTGTGATGGTCACCGGGTCAGTCCATCTGGTTGAGGGGCTTCCTCTCCTTCACAGACGCGCTCTCTCTCCCCCCGCCTTTCCCTGCATCATGTCTCTTTCCAAGGACTGATCATCTGGACAACATGCCCAAGTAGACGAGATCAAGTTTCACCATCCTGGCCTTGAAGGAACACGCAGGTTGCATTTCCTCTAAGACACATGTGTCTGTTCTGGCAGTCCAGGGTATGTGCAATATTCTTCTCCAACGCTTTTGTGCAAGTTTTTGGGTGTGATTACAAAAGCAATTCATGCTCATGAGATCTAGCACACCAAAAGAACAGAAAGCAAAAGGACTCCGTAAAACAACCCTCCAGAGCCGCTCACAATCCTGTCACTTGGTTCTGTTTTCTTTACAACACAGGCTCTATCTGAAATGATCCAAATTACACAAGTATTGTCCCCCTCTCCTGAGCCACAGGACAAAGAGATCTTTCCTACTGAATCCCCAGTTCTGGTTACTGTTCACACACTCACATTACTGCTGAATGAAACACATAAGCCCTCCTCCCAAGAGTCACTGTTAGCCATACACTGCTCAGTTTATACACTTATTTGTAAGTTTTTCTTTAACACAGAAACAAAACCATACCATAAATATTGTTCTTTTCTTTACATAACCCTAAAAGACATTTTCTGAAGATAAAGATCTTGGTAGAGATGAATCTTTTTTTTTTTAAATTGTATTATTTTTACGTGTACCATCAAATCAGATCTGACTGGTACAGGAGGAGATTGCCTCCTCCTTCTCCAGCAGAGCATCTGGTGGATTTGAACCGCGTACCTCTGGGATTGCAGTGCAGCGTCTTGCCACTAGGCCACCAGAGCTCCCTGAGACGGGTCTTTTTTTTAAGGGAAAGAAATTTTCATTTGAGTGAAGGCTTACAAATCATATTGGGTTTTTTAAATACAGTCATAGACAATTTTGCTTTATTACATTATCACTGATCTATTCATTAATTACAATGTCTAATCAACTCTCATTGCGTATTTTCTTTCTCTTCACTCAACTTACCAATTTATTAAATTGTACTTCCTTTCCCCTCCCTTTCCATCCCTGATGACTGCCACAACTAATTTTATCTGTAAGTAAACCTTTCCTTTTTATAACAGTGGCCTTCAACCACGGGCCTCCATGTGAAAAGGACAAGCTCGGGCTATATGGGTGCTGGTTTTTATGTGAGCTTCTCTCTACTGAAGACTTAAAAGTAACTGCATCATGAAGCGAGCGCTCACAAACCCTGAGTGTGCAGAAATCCTGGGACATTTCTGGAAGGTAAGTTAGCAATATGTACTACAAAATGTAAAGCTGTGCCCTTTGATTGAGTTGTCAACCTCTAGGAAAAGATCTGATAGAAGCAGTGATAGACTGACATGTCCACAGCTGTTAAGAGTGTCTATAATCCCCAGAGGTATGTGGTTCGAATCCACCAGATGCTCTGCTGGAGAAGGAGGGACAATCTCCTCCTGTACCTGTCAGATCCAATTTGACGGTACATGCAAAAAAATAATAAAATATAAAAAAAAGAAAAAAAAGTGTGTCTATAATCAGGGGGTTGATGATAGCACCCTCCACATGAGAGAATACGACCAGACCTTCAAAAAGGATCATTGGCGTCAAAAAGTTAACAACTCACTGGAAGGTCAGCTACGGGTGGGTTCCAGCTCGACAGCAAACAGCCGCCTCAGCCTCCACAACATACCCTGGGGGAGGATGGGCATTCACACCCATATGATTGACCACCTCTAAAAACCCACTCACTCCACTGTATGCAACACCACCACACCACACGTGTACTTTGTGTATTTGCAAAGTAGCATGCAGAGTGACTTGGCCATAAGAGGCACTGACTGATCAAGAAGGCAGCACAGATGCCAGTGGAAATGTATCACAAGGTGTTGGTAATAGCTGCCCGTACGACAGATGTGGGGCCATCGGAGAGTTGGGGTCCCTGGCAAGAGGACTGTTGGAGCAGTAATTCAAGTGCTCTGCTGCTAACTGAAACACTGGCAGTTTCAATCTGCCAGCCCCTTGAAGTGGGAACAGTCTGTTCTGCTAAGACCACAGCCTGGAGATCCCATGAGACAGCTTGACTCTGCCCTCTGTAGTTGGAATCAACTCAATGGCTGTGGTGTCTGGAAATCCCTCAGTGGTGCAAACAATTTAGAATCTGGCACTAACCTAAGGTCGGATCTCAGAGCACCCACAGAGCACCCACAGCGCTTCAGAAAACAGGCCTGGAAGGCTATTTTTTTAAAAAAAAAATCCAGTCACTAAAAACCCTATGGGCATTCAGGGCAGAAGAGAAACAATGTTCCTACTTTTGTGAATAGTGACTGGGATCTTGCTACTAACAAACAGAAGCCCTGCAGTTTGAATCTACCAGCTACTCCAAGGGAGAATGAGGACAGATTTCCTATGAAGAAATGTGGAGGAGAGCAGCAAATCAGCAATGGGCTTGGATTTGAAGGTGCATCTGACCCAAGCCATAATCTTCAACTGTCTCATACATGTGTAAAAAGTGGGCAATACAAGACCAGCTCGACAGCACCTAACCACCTAACACAGAATCTACTTCGTTCTGGCTCCCGGGGCACCACAGGTGTGAGTGAGATTCATGGGAGAAACAAAATTTCTAAAAGTCAAAACGTGTTCTTTTTCTCATCAGAAAAAAAAAAAGATTTTAAAAAGTCTTTTTTTTTCCCACCTGTCACCTGCATTTAGGAATTCCACCTCTGGGAGGACCACGTAAAAGCTCCAGGTTCTGAAAAGGTACATCTCTGGAAATTAAAATCCACCAGCAGTCTTCTCCTGTAAGAGTTATGGCCTCAGGAAAACTTGAGAGGCACTAAGAGTTGGAAGCTACTTGACAGTAGCGAGTGAGCATGAAGGGTCACCTTGATCCCAGGTGGCACATGGTTAGAAGCACTCAGCTAGTCAAAAGGTCAAAGGTTAGCGCCCACCAGCCACTGTGTGGGGAAAGATGAGGAAGTCTGCTTTCTTAAAGATTCCAGCATTGGAAACCCTGTGGGATAGTTCTGTTTTGTTCTACAGGGTGGTCATCAGTCAGAATAGACTCAATGACATTGGGTTTGAAGAACCACCAATGCTGACAGCACCAGTGGACCAAGGGACAAGCAGCAATGGGGACTCAAGACACACAACCCGAAAGGTCTTGCTATCTCAGTGCTTTGTCTGAGGTCCATGGATTCTGGACATCTCATCACTATCCTCAGGGCCAGTTCAAATCCAGGAGCTCCTGGACAATGGCTCAACTCAGTCAGTTCTAGCTGGCACTGCTGTTATCTGCAGTAGTACTTGCTGTAACAGAGGTATCTGTATAGTCCCGCAGCCTTCAGTAAGTTTGAAACATTATCTCATTTTTAAAAACTTTTTTTTGAGATGTTAACGAAAGTTTATAAAGAACTTGGGTTTTCAATTGTTCTCTGTTACACATTTTCCTCCCTGCCCCTTCTCCCCCACAGATTGCATTTTTCTAAGACATATCTCATTTTATTGCATGCCACAGCCACTGCTTTTTCTTACAAATCAAATATTGGAAACCAAGAAAACTGTGACTATTTGCATTATTTCCAGTAAAGCATTGAGGTGGGGGGACCTGCCGTGCAGGATGCAGGAATCCCTGGCTCCCAGTATTCTACATTGGGTCGGTCTCTCTAGAAGCCCACCTATCACTGCCCCTCCCTTCCCCAGTTGCAGAGCTCTGTGGCCTAGCTATTCATGACACACCGTATTCCACCTTCTCTTGACTCGGAGGCTGGTCAGAAACAGAACCATCTTTTGAAAGAGCAGTCACATACTCGGAGCCTCTCTGAGGATTTCCAGAACAGTGGTATCCAGGCAGCTGGTGCCTATCCTTCTGGCTGAGAACTGGTAGGCCACACCTGGCCAGTACCCAGGCAGACCTGCCTGAACAGATCCTACAGGGGAAAGACAATTGCCAAATGCCACTTCCAGAGGGTGGGGCTCTACATATTCCCCTGAAGCAAGGCTCTCTTCTTCGCTGCCGGATCTGCTGAGGAGTCAGGTGGGGGAGAGAAGGGTACTAAGTCCCTAAGAAAGCTGCGCTAAGGGTCCATTTTCCACAGCAGAGCCACAATCCTGCTGGGGGGGGGGGGTCTGAGCAGGGACCCTTAATGATCCTGTACCAGGCCAAATAACCAGGACTTAACACCAGATAGACTTTCTGAATTCCTTGCCTCCAAACCTCCCTCATCTTTACCAGCCATGTCCAGCTCCTGTACCCATTCCTGAGCATTTCCTAGTGGGGCTCAAGGCAGAGGGTCACAGAACTGCAAAGCTGGAAAGATCCCAAGCGACCCAAAGTCTAAGCAAGAGCCCAAGAAGTTAAGGATTTGTCCCCATATCCTCCTCCTACTGCAGGCATCTGGCAGGAAGTGCTACCTTTCTCAACTAAGCTTGGTGTCTCATGGATGCAGAGCCCAAACCAGGCATGGAGAGACAGGACAGTAATGCTCTCTAAGGAACTGGTGAGCAGCGCTAATGGGAACAAAGGCATGAGGCAGCTAGGTTCTCTTGGATTCTGCACTGTCATTCTAGGGCACGAAAAGGCTGCTTGGCCCAAGCCAAGCCACTGGTAGAGGTGTCACTCAGGGAGAAGGCCTTGCTGACCACCAGCAGCACCTTCTTCCCAGAAGACAAGACTGGGGCACACAATCAGACTGTCCCAGGGAAGCTGAGGGGCACAGGGCTTTGAAGTGAATTTCAACTTCACAGTGGAGAGCAAAGAGTCGAGGGCAGGTGGCTGCTGCCCTTGGTCCCAGCTTACTCACCAACAACCAGCAGCACCAGGATGACAATAAGAACCACAAAGAAGGTGTTGCCATATGTTACTACCAACTCCACCAAGCGGGACTTGAAAATTTTCTGCCACCTGTAAAGGAGACAAAGTGAAATAGGGTTGCAGAGCCAGCGCACACATTGGGAGCCAGGCCCTGGGCAGGGCAGAAATTCAGTTGAGTATTATTCTCTAAAAGCTGGGGACCAGTCAGCCTCAGCTGCTGCTAATCCTCCATCTTATGACACCTGGCCAAGAGGGTTAACAAGACAAAATTGCTTGTCCATATGAAGGCATCATTTAAAATCACCTTTAGGAATGATACTGTCTGAAAGGAAGCTCACTTTTCATGCATTTCCTTTTGTGGTAATAAAATTTCTGCCACATGCACACTTCTTTAAGCTATTTTTCCATAAGGCCAATCCTGTTTCATCTGTACTCCCACTACGCTAGTATTACTATAAACAACTCCCAGATGACCCATAATTCTCATCCTTAAATATTTAACTAAAAATAGTTAACATGATCACACCACCATGACCAGTTATAAAGAAAATTAACAATAATCTCTCAATATCAGAGTCACAGATCGAGCTTCTAATTACAGCAGTTTTTTAAGGAGTTGGTATTTTTAAAAAGTTCAACGCAAATGCAGATGGTATGTAGCTTACAGCCCTCAACCTCTACTGAGCTCCCCCTCCCTGAGTTCCTCTTGCAGAACATTTCTGGAAGGAACCACGTTGGCTATTTTATCAACTTTTTTCGATTGTAGCTCTGAGGGAGCCCTCTGTCTACTGTATTTGATCTAAGTTCTGAGGGACGAGCAGCCGTGGGTGTGATTTTTGGCAGGCTTTTTCCTTTGGTGGGGCTGTATACTTCATATCACATCAGGAGTTTGTGCTTTACACTAGTGCAATGGCTTTTAAAAGTTGAAGCTGCTTAGCCTTACTTATAGCATCTAAATTTGAGTGAAGGAAGACATGCTCTTATAGTACACGTAATTAAAAAGTCATTCCAAAGCCCATTAAAAAAGAAACATGGCTTCACCCCTCACAGGCTGAGAAATGCTCATGAGGCAATGGTAGTGATACTAGTTAGGAGGGCAAAAGTCACCCATACAGCAGCAAGCCTTCACGATCCTGCAATGTCATCCTTCATGCCCTCGTGACCCAACGGGAGGGAGGAGGGTAGAAGTCTACACAGATAGGTGGTCTTCTCTCTGAGGCATCCTGAAGACGAAGAGGGGCACAGGGAGAAATCCAGCCAGATGGGCTAAAGCTCAACGGCAACTTGGGACGGTGGGACAATAATAAGCACAACCTCCACCACCCCTCCCCAGGCGAATTCTACCTGTTTCTGCCCGGCCCCCCAATTCTGTGCACACAGCCGTCAGGCCTGGTCTCCCTCCAGCGAGCTTGCGCCACGGGTCGTACCTTTTCGGAGAAATGAAGGGAATGCAGAGAAGCAACACAACGAAGACCTCCGCATAGAGGAAGGTGGCCACTGCGGTCCACTGCAGACTCATCCTCTGCCGCTGGATGGTTTCCAGGGAAGCGAGCTCGTTTCCTGGCAGGACAGAGGGGCCGGAGAAGCGTGAGGGTCCGGGAGCCACCGTCCATCCTGCCCCCCACCCCCGTTCTTAGCGACTGCTGCCAAGGGGCTTCCTTTCTCTGGGGGAGCCCTTAAGCATGTGGCACTACCAAAGCGTTCTCAGTAAGGAGATAAGGCAGGGGCCGCGCGCCACCAGCGCTCTGCAGCTCTGGGGGCAGCATCCGCCCAGGCGCACCCCTGCCCCTCAACCAAGAGCCCGGTGAGGCAGCGCCCGGGCCCTCTAGCCGCCACGGCTTCTGAAAGGCCTGCAAGACTCGGGGTGACTCGGCCACAAGAGCGACCCCTAGAGGGCAGGAGCCGGGGCCATGGGAGGAGAAGGCGGCTCTCCACTGAGCACCCCAGCGTCCAGACCAGAGAAAGTTCGAGAAGCAGCAATCTTCCTGGAAGACCGAGGTCCGCTCGCTAGCAACCGGATCGGTAGTTTAGGTCTTCCCCACCGCGACCTGGGAGTCTCGGTGCCGTGGAGGCGTCCGGCAAGGTTTGGGGTTCTGCCCGCTCGCGGCCCCTCCGCGAGCTCAGACTCCTCTGAAGGGCTCGTCGCCCGCCCACTCAGCTCCCCTCAGCCCGACCCTAGGCTCTGCTCCTGGGCGCACCCCTCAGACCTGGGAGACCCCGCTCCCTGCCCAAGCCAGGGGCCTAAAAGGGGGCGCAGCTCACCGATTTTCCCACCGTCTCTCCGCGCACGCACACCCGCCGCCAAACTCTCCCACCACAGCAGTGGCCCCGCCCTTTCCCCCCGGGGCCGGAAGCCGGAAGAAGCGGCCGGCAGCCACGCCCCTCCCCGCCCCCGCCCGCCCACCAACCGCCGCCAGGCCTCTTCCTGCCGAGGACAAAGCGCGCAGGCCCGGTGGAAGCTGGCGCTGGGCGGCCCCGAGTCACGAGGCCCCTCAGGGTACACGGGGGCGGGACCTTGGTGGGAATGGCAGCGCCTCGGAGCTCCTCTAGTCAGCGTGGTCGTCCAGCTCTCTGTGGTTGGAGGAGGCGGGGCCTCCGTGGAGAGAGCGGGGTGGGGCTCCAGGCTCCGCCTCTCGCTCCGCCTTCGCCCTCCTCCCCTTCCCCCGACTCGCCCCTGGGGAGGGGTGGGTGGGTGGAGATTATGGGCCGGTGGCAGAGTCACAGTCGCTTCGGCCAGGCTGAGGAGCGGACGGACGCGCCTGGCACCCCTGGCGGGGGCTCCGCTAGGGTAGGAGAGGTGGAGAGGAAGAGCCGCCCTCCCTGCCCGCGTCGTTTTACAGCTCTGACCCAGGGGTCAGGGGACTGACACCAGCTGACAGCTCAGGTCCCCTCCTCAGCTGCCCGAAGACTACCAGACCCTGGAGGGCTCTGAGCCCACCGCACCAGAGGCCCCAGCAGCGCCTCTCGTTGCCTAAAGCAACAGTGTCAGTGACCACTGCAAGGCCTGCAGCTGCCCAGACAACGAGGCCAGGGGCAGCGCCACAAGCCTTCCAGCCACCTGCCTCGCCTGCTGCCTGCCTAGGTCTCCACCAGGTGACATGCCGGTGCTTTCCACAGCCCGGCCTTCCAGGGTGACCACACTGAAGCGCGCCACCCTGGGCCTGGCCCTTGCCGCCTATGGAGCCCACAGACTGTACCCGCTGGTGCGGAGGTGCCTACTGGCGGCCAGGGGCCCTCCCGGGCCGCTCGAGGCCTCGCAGGAGCAGGAGCCCTCGCAGGAACAGGACGCCTCGCAGGAGCCCTCGGGGTCAGCTGCCGGGGCCACGGCCGGCGTGAACCGCGTGTTCCTGCGGCGCCTCGCGTGGCTGCTGCGCCTACTCTTTCCCCGGCTCCTGTGCCGCGAGGCCGGGCTGCTGGCGCTGCACTCGGCCGCCCTGGTAAGCCGGACCTTCCTGTCTGTGTACGTGGCCCGCCTCGACGGCCGCCTGGCCCGCTGCATCGTGCGCAAGGACCCCCGCGCCTTTGGCTGGCAACTCGTGCAGTGGCTGCTCATCGCCCTGCCTGCCACCTTCGTCAACAGTGCCATCCGCTACCTGGAGGGCCAGCTGGCCCTGGCCTTCCGCAGCCGCCTGGTGGCCCACGCCTACAGCCTCTACTTCTCCCACCAGACCTACTACCGTGTCAGCAACATGGACGGGCGCCTCCGCAACCCTGACCAGTCGCTGACCGAGGACGTGGTGGCCTTCGCGGCCTCCGTGGCCCACCTCTACTCTAACCTGACCAAGCCGCTGCTGGACGTGGCCGTGACCTCCTACACGCTGCTGCGGGCCGCCCGCTCCCGCGGGGCTGGCACGGCCTGGCCCTCGGCCATCGCCGGCCTCGTGGTCTTCCTCACGGCCAACGTGCTGCGGGCCTTCTCGCCCAAGTTTGGGGAGCTGGTGGCCGAGGAGGCGCGGCGGAAGGGGGAGCTGCGCTACATGCATTCTCGTGTGGTGGCCAACTCGGAGGAGATCGCCTTCTACGGGGGCCACGAGGTGCGGCTGCCAGGCACGGCCGGGAGGGCAGGAAGGCGCCCGGCCACTTCTGTTTCCTGCCCGGCGCCTCCGCCCGCCGCCTCCTAGCGGTTCGGGCCTCCATCTGGGCCCTTTGAAGGCCACCGCGAGCTGCTAGGCGGCCAGCATGACTCAGCCCCCGCGCGGCTTAACGAGCTGCGCCCCGCGCCCCACGGGCCGGCCGCCGCGCGGCTGGACGCATTTCCTGGCAGCCCGGCCGCCGGGGCGCAGCCGGGGGCGGGCCCCGGGGCCACTGGAGGGGTTACTCCGGGCCAGCTCGCTTATCGCGGTGCGCCCCTCCCCTTCCTCGTGCCTGGCTTGCGCTGGCCACTGTGCTTTCGGTTCCGGGGGAGGGGTGTGGTGGCCCCTAGAGGCCGGCCTGGACTCCCAGGGCCCGACCTTGTCACCGTGCCTTTGTGGATTGTCCCCAGCTTCCAACAGAGAGGGAACTGCCAGAAACTGATAGGGAGCCAGAGCCCAGCCTGGGGCTCTGACCCCCTCTCCCTCACTCCACTTCTCTCACATGTGGGCTGGCAGCCTCTTGGCAGGCCGCCGGAGCTGTGGCCTTGGGTGAGGTGCTTGGCACATTCCCTTGAGGCTACATAGTCGGCCGTGGCTGGCAGTTTTGCCAGCTGGAAGCATGAGCTCCCATTGCCAGGGTGCTCTGAGGATGCTGCTTTGTTTCAGGGCTAGGAGACTCTCCCCAGGCCCTGGCCGGGATGAGCAGGGCAGACTTGAGCAGCCATCTGGAGTACTTCTCTTGGCCAGCTTCAGAACATGGGAGGTCCCCCAGGGGGTCAGCTTGCCGGAGGGGATTGGTTCAGACTTCTAGGTGGGCCTCCAATGGAGAGGCCCTTCTCCTTTCATGGCCACACTCTCTGTTTCTCTGTCTCCCTGACTTTCTCTGTGCTTGAGAACAAGTTCCATCTTCCTTTAGTCAAGGTATCATTTTTTTAAAAGAAGAAATCTTGTTCTCCTAGGGGCTCTGGCTCATTGCTGTTGAGGCAGAACTGACCCGTAGTTGACCCTCCAGTGGGTTTGCAGAGGCGACTCTGGCAGTGTGGGTCAAATTCTATCAACAGGATTCAAATTCCCGTACTGCTTGCTAGCTCCAGGCTGTGTGATGTCAGGCCAGAGCTTTGCCTCTCTGGCCTTGAGCAACCCACTGAGGAGGGTGTGTAGAGGGAACTCCCCACAAAACCAGTGTCTTACAGAATGGCTTCCACAGAGACTGTTTGGGGCCAGAGCTTTGACCCAACTCTGTCATAACCAACAAAGTGGAATTAGATCAGACCAACATTTTTCCACTTGAGGTGAGACTGAACCATAAATGAATGAGGAAAATGCCAAGTTGAAGCCTGGGAATGGGAAACTCACAAGAGGCATATGAAGGCTTTCCAGAGTCTGATGCTTGGACTGGACGGACTGTAGGGACCCATGTTCAAAGCAGCACTGCCACCATGGGAGTCCTACGTTAGTCTAGTGATTCGGCCATTATGCAGCTCACTCGCCGCCCTGGTTTTGGAGGAGGGAGATTACATTTTTCTAGGGTTGCAGGCTCAACATTTTTCTCATTCTGGTTATTGTTTGGGTACACCCACATTTTACAAATTTGAGCCCAGTTGGAGTTTGCTTCTTTAGCCATGAGTAAGCCCAAGGATGTGCTCCGGGTGAACTCCTTCATCACCACCACTGGGCCCAGCAGGCGCTTTCCCTACAATTCAAACCTGTCCTTTGGAGACATGGCCCAGCCATAAGCCTTTAATTTTGCTGAGACCGTCAAATGATGTGGCCCATGTGAGTGGGGCCCCTAAGCTCTCACGGCCCAGCATTCTCAGTTCTGTTTCTGGTGGCCACACAGGTAGAGCTGGCCCTGCTGCGACTCTCCTACCAGGATCTGGCCTCACAGATCAACCTCATCCTGCTGGAACGTCTGTGGTACGTCATGCTGGAGCAGTTCCTGATGAAATACGTGTGGAGCGCCTCAGGCCTGCTCATGGTTGCTGTCCCCATCATCACGGCCACTGGCTACTCGGAGTCAGGTGAGATCATGGAGTGTGGAGCCTCTGACCTTGTTTTTCTTTTTTTTGCAGGGCTTTGCTTACTCAGGGTCTCTTTCCATTCCTAACAATACTGGAATTGCCTTTCCCATCTCTTTGAAGTATCTTTGAAGCATCAGTATCTGTATTGGGATTGCTTTGAACTTGTAGATTATTTTTGGTTGAATTATCATTTTCGTGATACTGAGTCTTCCTATCCACAGACATAGTGTATTCTTCCACTTCTCTAGGTCTCTTTTTGCTTCTTGTAGTGGTGCTTTGTAATTTTCTTTGTATAACTTTTTTTTGTGTCTCCTGTTACATTTGTTCCTGAGTGGTTAGCTATTGTAATTGATATTGTTATTCTTATTTCCTATTTTGTGTCCTATTTGCTCCTGTAGAGAAAAACCTACTGATTTTGTATATTGATCTTGTATCCTGCTACTTTGCTGAATTGGTCAACTATATCCCGCAGTTGACTTGCATATTCTTAGGGTTTCCAAGATACTATCTTGTCATGTGCATATAGACATAGTTTCACCTCCTCTTTGTCTGTTTGGATGCTCTTATTTTTTCTTCCTCTTGTCTTATTGCTCTTGCTGGGACTTCCAATACCATACTGAATAGGAGGGTGATAGTGGACAGCCTTGCCTAGTCCCTGTTCTCTGGAGGAATGCCTTTAATTTTTTTCCATTCTGGGTGGTGTTGATTGTTCGCTTAGAGTGTATGCTCTTAATTTGTGTCGAGGAAATTTCCCTCTATGCATATTTTGTTGAGTGTGCTTATCAAAAAGTGTCTTGGATTTTGTCTAAAGCCTTTTCTGCATCAATTGAGAGGATCATATGGTTCTTATCCTTTATTTAGTTGATGTGATGGATAACTTCCTTGCGTGCCCCTTATGAATCCTACTACACAGCCATAGTAATCAAGACCGTATGGCCCTGGTACAGTGACAGGTGCCTAGGTCAATGGACTAGAATCTAGACAGAACCCAGAGATCCACCCATCTGCCTGTGGTCAACTGATCTATGACAAGGAGATTGAATCAGTTAGGTGGAGGATTGACAGTTTCTTTAACAAATGTTGTGTGTACTGTTGAGTTGGAAACAACTCGTAGCTGACCCTCCAATGGGTTCTCAGAAGCAGTAAATCACACAAGAGGAGACTGCCCATCTTTTCCCCACAGAACAGCTGGTGGAGTTCGACTATGTTTCTTTGTGTCAGCAGCACAACTCCTGACCACCAAAAGGTGCTGGCAAAACTGGACAACTATCTGCACCTCACATTATATACAATAACAAACTCAAAGTGGATCAGGGACCTAGGAGTAAAACAAACCACTGTAACATTCATCAGAGAAAAACTGGGAGCAAATCTAGAAGCCCTGTTCTAAGGCATAAACAGACTTTCAAACATAACAAAAACCCTACAACCAGGAGAAGATAAAAGATCAAACAATGAACAGGACCTTCTAAAAAGCAAACAATTCGGCTCTCTGCTCCTCGTCGATCCAGATTGCCCTCTCTTCTTGTGCAGCCTCAGCCGCATCCCTGAGACATGATGGTGAAGGTCGGAGTAAACGGATTTGGCCGTATTGGGCGCCTGGTCACCAGGGCTGCTTTTCACTCTAACAAAGTGGATATTGTCGCCATTAATGATCCCTTCATTGA